GTCGTCTTAAAAAAACAAAACCTTTTGATGGTGTTGATAGAATTGGGTTGCACACTGAGAAAAACATTGTATCATTTTACTTGTGCAATGAGGAAATCTACTGTCAAAATTTTTTATTGTTTTCATCACAACATACAAAGACATATACAACATAAAACCATATAATGATATAACATCCACCTAAAAAAGAAATTTCCCCATTAGTTTTTTTATATTCAACATACTGTGTAAGGTATGGGTACAAACAAATAACCTTAATGGGCTAAAAACCAAAACATTACAGTTTCACAGCATACTTTAAAGCTACAAATAGGAAAAAACATCACCCTACTACAGTATTAGGAAGAGTTCAGTCTTATAGTGATATATTTCACCGATAGTTACCTTAAGTGTAAGATCTCAAAGTAATCCCTTCAAGAAAATAACCAATGAAACTCAAATTTAATTCTAACGCAACTAATTTGCTATCAAGTAAGAATACGTATATAAAATCTCCATGTTCTAAGAGATTGTAATTTCACGGCCTTTAGTTGTAACCGTGCTCTGCCAGGCACTGGTCACATCGGAACTGACCACATAATATAATCGCTATGCAAATTGTTCCCGGTGACCCTGCCTGCCCCCCAGTATGTCTACCTGATAAATACTGCATATTTTGTTTACTTTTTTAGACCTTCACTATACTTTTCTATGGGTGTTCAGCATTGCCAAACAGGTGGAAGCCATTACAACTACACCACTTGTGGCTACATGTTCTTCTAGTTTGATGTTATAAAGTGATATAGGAGAGGTTGTAGGAATAGACACATGTACTGTACCCCCCTTTATGTCCACTGGGTGGGGTCAATACTTCTACCCCCTACAGTTCGGTGCCCCCTTTACAGCTTGGCTCGAACTTAAAACATGGGCAGAGAATGTTGTGCTGTACAAATGCTTTCCGCCTATAACAGCTGCAAACCCTCTTACAAACCAGCTTTCATGTGGGGCAGCTAGACATTGCAGATAATGTCATTTGATCGAATACACTAAAGCTGGGTAAAATGTTCGTATGCATTTTCATGTGAAAAATCTTGTCAGAACGTTCAATACTGTCATCATAGACTCGATGAATGTTGTTCAAAATTTAGCTGGATTTTAACATTCAATTATGGAATACATGGAGTTCACTGAACAAAAAACACATTCCCTGAACTGTTAGAATTCTGTTCCTTTAAAAGGAGAACTATGGGGTTAAGGCTTTTCCCCATAGTTCTCCTTAGGGTAACGGGAGGACACAAACTAGCGTCTTCCCGTCACCCTAAGATCAGTATACCGCGAGCTACAGCTCGAGGTATACTGAGACGCCGCAGCCGGAGTGGATCCCGACATCGATGTTGAGATCCGCCCAGCTGCGTGAGTGACAGCTGGCTCTGCCTATCTAGAGGCAGAGCCAGCTGTACCCACCCCCTCCCCCGTCCATTCCGCCAGTCAGCGCTGGCGGATCGGAGCGGGGAATCCAGCCCCTCCCCTATCACGGCAGAGAGCCGTGACAGGATCGAGAGGTGGTACGTGTTCGCTCACCTCCCGATCTACTGAGCCGACCTGTGACAGTCTCATTTTCACAGGTCAGCTAGAACTATGAGGTGAGTGAAAAGCACTCACCTCATAGTTCTCCTTTAAACCAAGGGGTGTCATTCTAAACTGAAATAACTCCACATCCCTATATACAGCTCCTATGAGCTCTGGCATGGTAGCAACTGAGACGCCACAGTATACTGCCAGCTACTGCTCGCGGTATACTGAGACGCCGCAGCTGAAGCGGATCCCGACAATTATGTCTGGATCCGCGCAGCTGCGTGAGTGACAGCTGGCTCTGCCTATCTAGAAGCAGAGCCAGCTGTACCCGCCCCCTCCTGATCCGCCAGTCAGCGCTCCCCTGTCACAGGATCGAGAGGTGAGCGAAAGCTGGTATGTGTTCGCTCACCTCCCGATCTACTGAGCCGACCTGTGACAGTCTCATTGTCACAGGTCGGCTAGAACTATGAGGTGAGTGAAAAGCACTCACCTCATAGTTCTCCTTTAACAAAAAATTGTCCTATCCTGCTCCGGTTTTTTTTCATCACGCACGTCGAAAAAATCATTAAAATTACCCTATTAACTATTAGAAAATTTGAAAACCTTAATTTTTAACAAAATTCCAACCGTGTATACCCTGCTTTACATACTTTGATTTTGCGACTACAAACAGCTGGCAGAGAACCGACTTTAAAATTAAAACAATAACTGGATACAGACAAATACAAAAATACACAATAATTGTTTTTTTCTCCGAGGCAGTTTTCCGACTGTTATACTTTCATTTAGATTTCCTCAGTGGGTACCTTATTAGTTAGAGGTGGCCTTTTTTTCCTTTTCTACCATACCTGGGTGTAGTTTACCCAAGAATTGGTATCTTTGTGTCCAAACCCAAAACTTATTAAGTTTTGGATAGAGTAGGAAAGCATTAAAATCCCTGTCAGTTTTTTTTTTCTTTGCCATATGTGTCCCATTTAGGAAAATTGCTTTCACTTACTGTCTTGTTGGCACAACAGGAAGAATAAATCACATCAGAATAAGGATAACTCCCACTTAGTTGTCACCAAAACAAAAATATCCTCAGAGGATTTCCCCTCTATTCCTGACAATTCCTAAAATTGGATTTTCTTTTTCTTTCAGTCTTGATTACAATGATCACAGGATACAAAGTGGGTGAATCTCCCTAACAGAGATACAAACAGCAATAAGAACTTGACAGAGGTTCTAACCCTTCCCTACTCCCAAACAAAGAAAGTTTATACTTTCAAAAAAAATAAAGATATACTTTATTTTTATCCCAAATTTGCAATTATTATTTAAACAAACACACTTGGTGAAACTAGCTTTTCATTCAGGGAGATTAAATATACTTGGTCTGAGGCAGTATTTACATGTCTATTCAAAGTTCAATCCCAAGATCTGTTACAGAGCTATTGAATATGTATATTATTTTTTTGTAAGCAATAGGGAATGCCATATTATCTTGTCTAGAATACTAAAAAGCCCTACAACTCATTCTTATACCAGAGCATAACCAAGAACAGACAAGCATGAAAGATTTATGTAATCTTGCATATAACGATGTACATTCTTACACAAAACATCCATCTGTAAGTGTCATGTCAGTCAAAAAGAATCTTTGATGGTTGGTTACAGCTGTGCAGTCTCTTCTGGCACTGCCGCCCTAGAAAATGCTAAACGTGGCTGCGCTGCTCTCTGCCATCTGCAGCTCAGCTTATCCGTTTTGCTCTGGCATTTCATGCGCTGCACAGGGCATCACAAGAGGCCAAGATGACAATGTAGAGTGACAGATTCATTTCCTCTAGAGGGTACATATTCTGGTATGCGGTTGTGCCACCCTTCTCTCTGAGATTTGCTGAGCAGCTACTGGTATTTGGCTTTTTGTAGCAGTTCTCTCCTGAGTATATTTGCTCTTTTTATAGACTTCAAAGAGCATTTGAAAATATTATGCATATTTTTAATTGGCATTGGATTTTTAATCCCTTTTAACTATCTTTTTTCTAAATACTAAAGGACTCGGCTAAGCATTGTTGGAATGGTCACTTAACATATCCCAGCATGGATTTTATAAAATCTGCCACACAATTTTCCATAAAACAAACATATACTGTGTATACCCTTATTGGGGTTTTCATGTCTCTAGCTGCCAATTACGTTAGGGGAAATGTCAGTCTTTGTCACTACCTGTGGACACTCTTTCTCAACCCATCTTAGCTGAGTAGGTTGGAACACGCTGTAGAGAAACTCTTTCCAGCTGATTTATTGGAACATTTCTTATTTGGTTGGTTACCATGATGCAGTGGAGGGAAGTGGGTAATAGGGCACAGAAAATTTGTTATATCATGTTCAGGAACTGGACTGCTTATCAGCGGCTATTCTATTTTAAGCATGTGAAGGTGGTCTATTTTTTAAATAAGAAAGTGTAATCAATCTTGCTTCCTTGTTCCAGGTGAGTGTGTCATTACTTGGGTAGAGAGTAAAGTCAAGATCAGGATGTCAGTTCCGTAGCATGGCAGTCCTTACATATTACCTGCACATACAGTAATTGCAGAGAAGAGCTGTTCAGTTATTTGTAGACCACAGCTCATTAACTTCTATGGAGAGCCCAGGAACCTATATTTGAAATCTACAGTACTCATTCACCTGTAGCAAACATCTCCCAAATGATGGGGGGAAACTTGGGAGAGCCCTGCCATTTATCTTTACCTCTGGTATCACTGCTCCTCCTTCGGAATCTCACCATATGGAATTTATCCACACAGGCACAGTTAACATTTTCCTTTCCTTCTCTTATGCAGGGAAATGTAGATTTAGCCAGGTCATGCAGGTTGCAAAGTTGTTGTGTGCAGTAATGAGTACTACTGAATGTGTGGGAGCCTATTATCGCCTCTCAGGGGTGCTTCTATATTCGGCAATTCTAAGCCAAGTGTCATATTGAGCTACCAGGTAGGGTGCGAGTGGGCTGTTTTTTAGTTAGCCTGAAACGTCTCCATCTCAGCATTGCTGATTTCAAATAAGAGGCTACCTAAAAATGTTAAATGGCGAGGCGACTAATGGAGACTGCAAGTGATGATAGGAGACACGGACCACCAGAGGGTTAAAATTACATTAAACAGCTCTTCTGTAGCCAGACAGTGTCACTTTAATATCTATGAAGCAGAACAAGGTAAAAATTTGCAATGGAATTTATAAAATATTTGCAATGTATTAGTTGACCTATAGAAATATTATTTTTAACAAAGATGGAATTTCACTTTATATTTCTTTCAGAAACAGATGCTGAGTTCTCTTGCATTTCATGAGTTAGAGTTCATGAAATGCAATTTTATTAAGTATATTTTAAAAATAAAAAATCTCAGTCGCAAATGTTACTAAAGGAACTGTGTTATTTGAAGATATTTCAATTATGTTTTCTTTTCCTGTAGAAACTAAATATACAGGACATGCTCTTGCTTTGCTTAAAGAATGTGAACTCCAAGAATTTGACGGGTATGTTGTTTAAATGCATAGCTGCTTGATAGACGTACATTTTAGCTGTTTACTCAGTGAATTTAGCAGAGTTTACTCCTTGATTTATGTATTTACCCTCGAAGGCAGTATCTAATTAAAGTAAATATGTCACAAACTTAGATAATTCAATCCAAGCATATGATAAAAAAATATCCAAAGGCAGATGTTATCTTTTTGTGGCTACTCCAGAGCCTAGTTCACTCTCACTGGCAAATTGTGACTTCTGTGAGTGTCAAGACTGAGCCTGCCTTTTTCTGCCTCACGCACATTCCTTTTGGCCAGCCATCGTAGAGATAAACTACATGCTGAAAACAAATTGCAACAATTACAGGAATTATGTATTGAGACTCACTCCCATTAATTAGTCTAGCCAATCTAGAGGGTTAGGAGGAGGAACACAGATGACATCATTCTCCTTAAGTGCATGTGGAAAGCCTAGGAAACTTTTCACATACCGCATTTATCTTTACAATGTTTGTTATTTTTATTTATTTTTTATTTTTTTTGCAGAATCTGCTAAATTTTTACCATATTGTGCAGCCTCAATGGTGGTGAAAAACATCTACATTATATATTTTATAACACACATTACTATTAGTGGTTGATCTCAAACACCCTGAAGCTACATATTGTGTTATTTTACAGAGTTGGATAACATCTATATTAAAGTGACTCCGTGACTATGTAAGGCAAAATTACATTGTCCCTGTGAAGGGCCCCCCTGAAAACCTTGTACTCTTGCACTCTCTTGCCTGTAAAGCTGGGTCTACAGGGTCACACCACCAAAGCCCTAAACAGAGATGGGGTCTGCCAGGGATTTAACTTCTATGGATTAACTTTGAACTGAAACATCAGTTGGGGTGTATTGCTGCATCTATCTATATTGCAAGTTCAAGGTTCATGTATATAATGTAATTGTTTTCTGTTCAGTCAAGCATATCCAGTGTTAATGCAGTAAAGCTTGATATTAAGCCCCCTAATAAAATTAAGGGTTCCCCAAAGTAAAAACGGTTAATTCAGAAATGTGTGAACATATGTTTACAAGTAATTTCACTATAATTATGCTCCTTATTAGACCTCAAGATTGTCGTTGTTTTCTTTTGTGCAGCCTTTGCAAAAGCATTATTTGTCCTCTCAGCTAAAACAGTGTCATTTTCATTATTCTGTATTTACATATTGCTGACTTTGTTTGCAGGGCATAACAATCTATGTACAAATAGGCAAACATATATTGAGTGAAAAATCCAAATAAAGAATAAATAAGTGTAACTGTTCCTTGTTCAGAATTCTGTTTTTAGCTAAGACTTAATATGTAACCAGCAGTTTTTTTAATACCATTAAAGTGTGTGATTTCCTACGTAATAATGTGAGGTTTTGGGCAGGAACATCTAAAAATGTTTATAGTTTATAGTTAGTAAAAAAAATCAAATACATACATGCCGTTTTTACACAAAAATTTTATTTTTATTGGAACGTAATATAAAAGTAAAAATGGTAATTTGGGCCCATTACCTTTTCAAAATAGTACACAGGTGTTAAGTTGTAATTTCTGTAGATACATTTATGGTTCTGTAAAACACATTATTAATAGGGATGAGCTTGGAGTTTGGGTCAGCCATGATTTTGAATAAACCCAAGTTGTTGCCAGTTCAGGAAAATCGCAAACTTGTGTGACCATTTGCCACTATAGCAACTAATTACCAAGCTTACACTTTTTGGCTTTTGCTCATGGTCAGGTGGCTTAGAAGGGTTAATAATGGGGATTTTCTTATGTGCTAGCCCCCTCTTTATAAAAGTCAGGTTTCCCATCAGTCTTCTGTCAGAGTGTGTGTAAACAGCTCACAGAGTGTTGTTTGCAAAGAGAGATAGTTGCTGTTATGCAGTGTGTCACCCCCCTCCCCAGCACATTTCATGGGTTGGAAAATCCTTTCCCCAGTGGAATAAGCCTGGAGTAGGCCAAGCCTTGACCTCCTATGTACAGTTATCAGAATTTAAAGTCCTGGTCAAAAAGCAAAAACCAAGGGACCTGTCACCTATTTAAAAATGCCAGACTCTGCAATAGAGGTGTGGCACACAAGGAAAAGTGTATCCCCTTGGATAAAAGTCAACACCCTTTTCACGTGTGTGTGTGTGTGTGTGAAGGTCACCCTGTTGTAAACCGAGATAAGTGAGAAATGGAAAATTCTCTCAGCTGATGGTTTGACAGCAAGTGCACAATTTCCAAAAAGTACCAACAACTCACCACTCCAATTACACCTGTCTGTCGGTCAAATGTATGCACCGGGTGCAGGCTACTGTGTGCTCCCACTCCTTTGGCAATTCTTGTACAATCAGCCACACAGAAGAGGTCTAGATAAAGCCCAAGTGGTGAGACATGTGAGAGATGTTGGTGTGGGGGAGATGTCATGGTGATGTATTTTTTTTTTTCCCCCAAATTGACAATTTTTATTGAGTTTTATAAAAAGACAATACAGAAATGACCAAAGTCATGAAACAAGGAATAAGAGATCATGCGGAGCAAAACCAAGTATACATTGTGTAACAAGCAACGGTACATCGTTAAACCCACTGCAGTGTTGGGTCCAACATGAGGAAATACATGCAACCCACATGGAATGTAATAACCCTGGCTAACAGGCAGTACCACTCATTTGACGGAAAAGTAACATACTAGACATTAAGAATCTGAGGTATACATCCATTTCCCGCACCATACCTATGGTCAGCAGTAGGGATGCACCGATACAAGCATCGGTATCGGCCACGATACCGAGTATTTGCATGGGTACTCGTACTCGTGCAAATGCTCTGATGTCCAAAACGAGTACCTGTGTCCGCCATCTTCCACCGCCGCACACAGCACACAGGACCGCGTCTGCATTCATGCAAGATGGCCGCAAACTCCTTCTCCACGGGCGAACGGCGGAAACCAGACTCCGCCTTCAATTCCTCTGTCCTCACTCATGATTGGTGGGGAAGCCTGTCAATCATCCAATCGGCCAATCAGCGTGAGAAGAGGCAATTCCTCTGTCCTCACTCGTGATTGGTGGGGAAGCCTGTCAATCATCCAATTGGCCAATCAGCGTGAGAAGAGGCCGGCATTGACAGATGACTATGCTGTGACACAAGGGGATGAAGCAGACGGAGACGACGGAGAAGAAGGTTAGCAGCACTGCTGGGGCTGGGCACAGGATGGGGGGTGGGCACAGGATGGCCTCAAAAGTTATATTTGCCTGCTGTAGGATACGCATGAACCAGGCTCGCTGGCCTAGAGAACAAACAAAAAACGGTGGCCAGGACAGAACCCTAGAAAAGAAAAGACACAGAACAGAAAAAAAAGAAGCAGTAAGAGAAATAGAGGGTAGTAAAAGCTGGGTACCGGCTTCATCTCGCCTCTCCATCCACCTCGCACGACATCCCCCGATCCCCCTACAGTGCATCCCAGGCCTCCCACACCTTATTATGCAACCTCCAGGTGTTATTTAGTCTAGCAGTCAGGTATTCTAATTTTTGGACATCTTTGATTCTGGTATACAGGTCCAGGTCGGACGGCGGGGTGGTGCGCTTCCAATGAAGGGCAATGAGGCATCGTGCCGCCGTCAGTACATGTGATGACAGCTTTTTAT